TTTCAAAGCAAGTAACTACAGAGCCATGTGGCCTGTCGGTAAATGCTCAGATGATTAACTGAGAAATGTGGAGGTGGGTGGAAGAAGGCTGCTCAGCATATGAATTTGAGAAAAACAAAATTCATAAGAGGATGTTTTTGTCTTTTGAAAGCTAAGAGTATTTTGGTCTCCACACTGATGCTCCATGTACTGGTCTCCACGGCCCAGAGAGGAGGAGGGGTAGATGGCTACAGATGTTCCAGTGGTATTCTTCAACGTGCTTGCAGTCAAGTTTTTAAGTTCAGGTTTCCTGAGAGTTAAATCTTGGCACAGGTCAAGAACAAGTTGCAAATCCAATCTGTACTGGTTAGAGTTAGCTGGGCTAAAGAGATGGCACACCCTCCCGCCTGCCTTTCTGGGCTTCCCATCCCTGGTGGGAATTATGGGAGAGCAGACCAAGGCCTGTGGGGCTGAAGGACAGGTTTGGAAACAGAAACTGCCAGATAGCTAGTGGACACCAGGGAGGGAGTGGACCAGGTTAGCCTCCGCTGAGGTCTGCTAAGTTGTGCCGTTGACAGCCTTGCCTGTGAGACTGGTTGTGAAACCAACAATCTGGTTATGAACGAAGTCAGAAAAGAACCTGAAACTGGGACGCTGAACCTAACAAGTCCAACAAACCCTCTTCCCAGACACTCTCAGTGGCTGACTTCATCATCACTAGCGTTGCTGAAGCCCGGGCTGTGACTTTCACCGCCACCACTGTCACCGCCACCACTGTCACCGCCATCTCAATCGCCATCAGAAGCCCTGCTGCTGCCATCCTCACCAGCATCACACTGGCACTGCTGCCGCCGCCTCTACCACCACTCCCACCAGTCTCAATACCAGAACGACTCCTGCTATAATTCAGCACCACAGCAACACCAACAGTCTTCACGCACACAGCCTCTTCCACCACCCCACTTGTACCAACGCCCGCAACAGCAGCAATTCCTCCACGACAGCCTCATCACTGCTGCCCTCACTGCCACCACTGGCACAGCTGGCCCTGGGCGGAGTTGGTCTGGCTGGCTGTGCTCTTAGGCACTTTATCATATGATCCGAAAACCTGAAGAGCAAAGTGGAAAAATCCAGTGTTCATTCCAAAGCCACCAAAATGAAGTGTGTCACTGGGTTAAACTCTGCCACTGACCATTTCTGTTAAACGCAAGCATTTCTATGGCTTCAAAAACAGAAATGCATGCCAGCATTCGGGTGTGTAGTGAGAGGAGAATGGATTTCAGGCCAGCTTGGACTACACAGTGAAACACTATCTTAAATAAAACTCAAATGCGGTATACACACCCATACTCCAGTACTTGGGAGGCTGGATCATGAGTTTAAAGTTAGTGCAGGTTAAGATACTGTCTTAAACAAATGAACAGGAACCTCAATAGCCCCATAGCACAAACACAGTAGGACATGCAGCCCTCAACTAACCTTCAGAAGTGTGTGTGTCCACTACTGTAAAGGGCCCAGTTCTCATCCTCTACTGTAAAGGGCCCAGTCCTTACCCTGACATCCCTATAAAAATGCCCAGCTCTACGCACTGTCAGAATGCTGGATAGAGGAGTGTCAATTGATGCTAATGGAACTGTAGATGATCCAGGGAAAAGCCACTAGACTCCTCTGTGGCTGTCGCCTGCCCTGCATGCATGGAGAAATGTCTAAGTGATATCCTGGAAGGATGAAGTAAACAACCACATCTAAGGGCTGGCAACTTAAGACAGGCACTTCTCTCCTAATGAGACAGAATTCCATTTAGTTTCTTTAAAATGCTTGAAGCTCTGAGTCCAAATTGCTCCCCCCAGAAAAGGGACGACGTTTTCCAGATCCAGCAAGTAACATTCTAAGCCTGTTCTCAGGACGTGATAATTCCTGCCATGTGAAAGACATTTCCAGGTTTAGAATCAGTGTAAAATTAATACAATAATGATAATTCATGTAAAATATGCACGGTCAGTAACATTTTAAGGAATCAGTAAGTGTTGGTTGCTTGAAAGCAGAAGCTTGGAAAAACTTGCTTTTTACTGGCAGCCACTTGGGGTTAGACCACTTCTGTTTTAGTTGGAGCCAATTACAATGATCAGCTTTAACATTTTTGTAAGATTACATTTCAAAGCTCAATTTTCTATAACACTGAATGCTAAAAACTTATCCTGAGATTGAAGTGATTCTAACCCCTCCCCAAGGTAGAATCAACATAATCACATCAGGCCTGGACAAAAATAGTGACAGTTGCTCCACAAAGCATTTCCATTAAATGGTCAAAATCATCACTGGAATAGTTTGAAAAAATATATTTATGAATGAGGTAGAGATTAATTTTTATAGTGAATTCATTTCACAAGTGAACTATTACATATTTCACAGGGGAAGGTCTATTTGAAGTTTCAGGGGGCAGTCATATATTTCTGCTGTAAAAAAGTCATCCTGCTGAACAGGACACACCAAGTGTTTAACACATTAATTATCATCCTTCATCAAGCATAAAACTAATAGTCAGGAAATACAGCTGCAATGGTACAATTACCAACACATTCAGAATACACCCCGCAGCAAAGAAAACAAATGGCCCGCTTTTCATTAACAGAGCTTGGCAAGCCACTCCTAAGACAGTGTTTTCTTTCCCATCAGAATCCCAAAAGGCATTTAAGGAGCTATTGGCTTATGTAAACCTGGAGGACAAATTAATTGTGAAAACATTTATTTATGTTTCAAAATGTACATTATCAATATAGCATGCCATTCTAAAACAATAGGATGAAACAAAACTTTTATAAATATAGACCAAATGTTTTAAAAGGATATTGGTGCAAGAGTTCTGGGCATTCAAATAGTATCATCATACCTGATCAGGGTACATAGGGAGTAACACATTTCCTTTTCATGTTTTATGGCACAAAATTTGGTACACATCTATAAAAAATAAATGACCTGTATATAACGGGATTCCATTGTGTCCAGTGGAAGTCCACATAATTATCTGCCAGCTTGTGTCATACTGATAGCCTAGATCAACGTCATCATTCTTTTCATGCTAATGAAAGAACAGCTTATTTGATGGGCTTTTAGCTTATTATTAATTTTACTGTAACACCATTATATTTTAACAGATGTATTTATCCTACAAGATTATATTATATGTTAGCTACACACTATTATTTAGACTATAATTTAAGGGAGGGTCAAGGGATATAAAAGCTGCATATCAAAAATACTTGTAATTATGTCCTAAATCACAACTGTCAAATTCTCACTAAATCCCTGCTCAGAAATATGCTAACATAAACATTATGATCCTTTCTATAGGGTGGACAGTAGGGCAAAAATCATGAAGCCATATTTTCCTCAGCCCAGCCAGGGATACGCTGTGTTCTTCCATGTTTGTGACATAACTTTAATGTCCTGACTTCAGACTGTCATTTATATGCAGTAAACTTACACATGAAAAAATTTTAATTATATTTGAGGTTGGGGCTACTTCATTTGTCTCCTGGCCAATTTATGTTTCAAAAGACAGTTAACTTTTGGTACTGGGTACAAATTAAAACATGTGGGCTTGGAATACAGGTTAGCAGTAGAGTATTTTTCTAGCATGCATGAGGTCCAAGGTTCAATCCTTAATACCTTAAAAAGAAAAATGAAATAGCAACAACAGTACAATCATGATGGCCCAAAACCTGTGGTCTGTTCAGGCCAGGCTAAGAACTGTGGGTAGCTTGAGTAATCTGCCTTGGTTGGGAGGGCTACTTCCTAAGCTGCTGAAAGCATCAGTAAATCACAAAGAAGAAAAGCAGCTGCTTCCAACAGTACCATTGCCAGTGTGACAGAGGCTGCTTGCAGACTGTGTACAGGACATTTGGCTGGATGACAGACATCCAGGATGTATAAGAAGGAAAAAGCCTCTCCTGGCAAGTGTGTGTAGTTGATGGAGTCAAACAGTGCATACTCAGGGTGCATTCACCATGAGGCATGTCCGTGAACACCCACAACTGAGCAAGGCAGGGACTGTGAGGGAAAACTTCATGGCCAGGTGTCCTTCCTGGAGTCAGCTCGGAATGCTGCTCAGGTCAAGTGCACACATTCCTGGGTCCCTCGAGGCCTTCACTTTCACACAAGGCCTTTGATAGTTTCTACCTCACTATTTTGATAGGTTTGTAGGTGACTTATAAACATTTAAAATCAAAGATGCATTTTAAGGCAAAAGGGGTAGGTTTTTAATGTTTTATTAGCAAGGGGGACCTTTATAAATTGCCTTAAAAATCAGAAGTGAGCAATTTCATAGTTTGCTTTTGCAAGTTCTTGCCTGATAGTTTTCTTTCACAGGCACAATCCAACAACAAAGTAACCACTGTTCTCTCCTGTCATTCTTCAAATCCTTCTGGAATGAAAATCACTGTCTTATCTTGATGTGCATTCATTTTTAGTAACCATTAGGGCAAGATAATTCCAAATCAGTTTCAATACTGAGAATCAGACACTGTACACAAATCCCCTTTGAGGCAAGAATCCTTGAGTTTAATGTTGCTCTTTCGATTAGAAAATATTACTATATTATGGAAAGTTCCAATCCTATGTTGGAGGTAACTTCAGAATTAAGTGATCATTTGCAGAAGTAAGAGAGGAAAGAAATGTAACTTCTTAGATGAATATATTAAGATTTAGTAATTAAAAATTAGGGATGTAACTCAGTGGTAGAGCACTTAACATGTACAGAGCCTGAATTGCATCCCAGGTAATGGGAAAGCAAAACTAAACTAAACTACTAAAAAGTTACTAGTTACTTGTTCTTGAGCAATCTTGTCTTCAACAATATCAAATAAGTAGGGATTATCATGATCTATAATGAGAGGCGCAGCCAGAGGCATAGCTCTCCGTGACAGGAGGGGTCTGGGAATGTGATACTGCCATGGCTTTGCCTTGTAATCCAAACAAAACTGCCTTTTCAAAGACTTACGAGTGGTCTCTGGCTTTCTTACCTTTAGCGTTGTAAATTCATATGGTTGATAACCTTTGAAGCTCTCATGGATGGCTGCCATGGTGTGAGATGTTTTCTCCCAAAAGTGGAGCAGGGTTGTCTGTAAAGAAAGATGGTCAAATCATTAATGCCTGCAATGCCCATTTCTGACCCTGGTCCCCAGAAAAGTGGTCTTACCTATGACTTTACAGGTTGGCTCAACTAATTTGCATTCATCTTTGTACCCGTTTGTCCTGGTAAGTCACTTAGACGTTGGTGTGTCATCCAACTAAATTTCTACCAATGTTTAGGTTATTCCTACCACCTGGGAACCTTACCTCTCCATCCTCTTTGTCCCATTCAGTTCATTTGATTTCTCCCCCCCTTTTTTTTGGAGGGGAGTGGTAGTGTTGAGACAGTATGACCCTGGATGACCTAGACCTTGCTCTGTAGATCAGGTTGGCCTTGAACTCACAGGGATCTACCTACTTCTGCCTCCTGAGTGCTACGATTAAAGGCATGCACCACCATGACCCACTCACTGGCATTCTTAAATTTTTTTTTCTGCTTAGAACACCTTTTCTAGAGGTTTAGGAAATACAATAAAATCTTACAGCCTCCAGTTTTCTTCCTAAACTTTGAATTCCTTGAGGAAAAGGAATTGGGCTATAGTAATTTCCACATGCCTGCAACGCCAAGCATCTGGTGTTGTTTTGGAGTCAACAGCACTGAGGATGAGCACAGGGCTGCACTGAAAGACCTTAGCATTGAGAGAGACAAAAGCAGGTGTGCTGAATAATCACAACATGAGACATGGAGGGTATTGTGCTAACAGGGTCCACAGCAGGATCTGGAAAAGGAACAGAGGAAAGGTATTCCAGGCAGACAGGACCCACAAAACAAGTACAGGGAATGGAAATTTCCACTGTGTGTACAGCACATTGTGACTGTACTGTTGATTAAACTGCAGGGCCTTAAAGAGCGGAGCAGAGGGTGCCTTCAGAATTCATGATGCCCAGGTCATTCTTTCCATCCAAACACAATCTTTCCCATCATCCAAGCCTCTGGCAATTCTTTGTTCACTAAAACAGACATCACTTTGTTACCTGGTATGTTGCTAGCATGTGAGATAAGAGATTGCATCTGCTTGCTCCAAGGAGATCCACCTTCTGACACACATCCATCTTCAATTTGTCAAAGTTTTTTTTTGCAAGGCGTACTTGTGTCTGAACCTACAAAAGCAAAAGCGAGTCTCTGAGACAATCAAGCTTCTATGAAGTTAAACTTTGCAGGTGAGGAAAGACCAGTGAAGGGCTTCTCTGTCTTACAGAAGAAGACATCATTAAGTTCTAGACCAATGAGCAGATTGGATATCCCATCTTTAACTTCCAAAATACCTCGATAAGAATTGTGTTGATCATTATTTTGTAATAGGCTTACTATACAAATTATATGTTTTGCAGAATGAGATGAATAACTCTGTCTCCTCAGGGCAATTACAAGCTAGTCATAGTGAGGAGAAGTTTGGAGAAGCACAGATGCACAGAAAGAGTCTTGGCTCCCAGTGTTCCCGGTCTCTGAAAAGGGAGTTACCACACAGTCCTCGATGGACTTTTCCTAACATTAGCATCTTGTGTGACATTTGCTAAAATGCAATCAATGTATCATTGATACAAACCTATTTACTGGTTTCTATAAGTTCTTGGTGTTTTATTGTTTTCCTGTTAACACCAATTTACTGTTTCAGAAGCGAATTGAGGCATTATATCAAAGAGTTTTGCCACAGCACCTGAAAGCAACCTAGATGCTCCTCAGCTGAAGAACAGATAGAGAAAATGTGGTGCATTTACACAATGGAGTACTACTCAACAGAAAAAAATAACAACAACAATGGAATCTTGAAATTCGAAGGCAAATGGATTGAACTAGAAGAAACCACTCTGAGTGAGGTAACCCAATCGCAAAACGACAAACAAGGTATGTACTCACTCATATATGGATATTAGACATATAACAAAGGATTACCAGCCTATAATCCACACCACCAGAGAAGCTAGGAAGCAAGGAGGACTCTACGAGAGACATACATGGTCCACCGGAGAAGGGGAAAGGGACAAGAGCTCTTGAGCTTATTGGGAGCATGGGGGGAGGGGGAGGGAGCTAGGAGAATGAGAAGGGGAGAAGAGGAGGGGAGAGGATATGAAGGAGCAGGAAGACTGAGTGGGGGGGAGGATACAGGAGAGCAAGAGATACCATAATAGAGGGAGCCATTAGAGGTCTAAAGAGAAATCTGGCACTAGGGAAATGTCCTGAGATCTACAAGGATGACCCCAACTAAGAATCTAAGCAATAGTGAAGAGGCTACCTTAAATGCCCTGCCCCTATAATGAGACTGATGACTACCTTATATGCCATCCTAGAGCCTTCACCCAGTCGCTGATGGAAGCAGAGGCAGACACCCACAGCTAAACACTGAGCTGAACTCCTAGAATCCAGTTACAGAAATGGAGGAGTGGTGAGCAAAGGGATCAAGACCAAACTGAGGAAACCCACAGAAATAGCTGACCTGAACAAGGGGAGCTCATGGACCCCAGACTGACAGCTGGGAAACCAGCATAGGACTGACCCAGATCTTTTGATCATGGTGTCAGTTAGAAGGCCTGGGCAATCTATGGGGCCTCTGGTAGTGGATCAGTATTTATCCCTAGTATAAGAATGGACTTTGGGAGCCCATTTCATGGAGGGATACTCTCTCAGCTAGACACACAGGGGAGGGTTTAGGGCCTGTTCCAAATGATATGACAGACGTTGAAGATCCCCATGGAAGGCCTCACCCTATGTGAGACCCTGTCTAAATATATATATTTAAAAACCATGAAGTCAAAAATCTCCCCTGCCTCTAATCCAAAGTGCCACCATATTATATTATGGATGAGGAAAGCCAGTCACTTAAGAAATAACATTTTATTGAGTTATTTTTGATGTATAAAATCTACAAATATTTAATGTGTTCAACTTGATAAATTCAAATATTAAATCATTTTACATAACACTTATGGCACAAAAACTGGGCAGATGAGTATTAGAAGTAATGATGACTTATTATTTACAGCTTTTTAATCATAACATCCCAGACAGCAGAAACAATGTCTATTTTGTCCACCACTATATCACCTAGCAGCCTCCTGCAAAGCAGGTACTGAATACATACTTGTTAACTGAATGAAGAACTTTCCCATGCCATTTCTAAATGTCCACATTTAAAGCCTTTAAAATAGCTTAGTGATCTGGGGCGGGGTGGGAGGGTGGGGTCAGATGGCTCAGTGGATAAAGACACATGCTACCAACAAGCCTGATAACCTGAATTCAGTTCCTGGATTCCATATAATAGTAGAAGGAAATTAACTCCCATAAGTTGTCCCTCTAACCTTCACACAAGGACTGTGGCATGTGTGTGCAAGTTTCACTTTAAAAAATGTAGTCATTTTATTTTCTCATGAAAGTGAATAAATACATTATTTGATATAAACATAATGATTTCACTATCAATCATAACATTCACAGCTTGCAAGTTTATATGAAATTATACAAAAATAGCAATGGTAAGTATAAATATAACAACTGATTTAATTTACTCACTGCATGCTGATATTCTTCTTTAGCTGTTATAATGACTTTCCCTTGCTGATGATGACTGAAGCCTGCATCAGGGCAAGGGCTGATTTAGGGTAGGGCTCTCTGACTGAGTAGCCATGCTACTATGCCCCTTCAAGCAATTTACCCTACTCCCTGGAAAATCAAGATGCTCGCAATTGGATTCTACATAGTTCCCTTTCAGGACTGTAGGCAATTGGCAAATAATGAGGCTAAACCTTTAACACCACATCAACAGAATTAATACCTACAGGAATAGGTGCTGCATACATGTCATGCACAGCTACATACAAACTTTTCTAAGAATTCCTCTCAACTCTCTCTCTGTAGTGCTGGTGAGACCAATGGGCAGTAGCTACTAGCTCCGCTCAGCTGGTCTCACTCTGAGCACACACCCTTGGGACAAACGATTTTTTTACTGCAGAGAGGAGACTCAAATCTCACCTCCTGGGAGCTCTGACTGTAGGAAGAGTTTAAGATGAGTGAACTATCATTGATGTTCTACCTTTCTCTGAGAGGAGCAAAGAGACAGGAGAAGAACAGGGGCTTTCTGGGAGTCAGAGAAGAAGAGGAAATCCAGAAGGATGGAATTTTAGCAGCTGAGATTTTTGATGTAGAGCACCAAGGGTCAGCATGACTCAGCCAGAAGGGCCTCTTCAACTGGGATCCTGAAAGACATCTGTTGTCAGCCTTTTCCTTGAAAGGGGAAGGAACGTGTTTGGGGCATGAGCTTCTGTGCATGTATGCATTCAATACATGTTTGTGGAGCACATGGGAGTCAGGTGTTACACTATGCATGGCGGGCATTGTTAAGTAGTAACACATACAATGTATCGTCATTGAATGTTTATGAATGAGTGTACATCATGATGAGCATCCTAATATAACATATAGTCACTAGATATTTATGAAGGAGTGTATATTGTTACAAGCACCCTAAGCTTCTATGGAGGAAAGAAAAGTTAGCAATTATAACACCATGAGATATGTGTAAGAACGGAACTGTAGTTGGGCCTTTTCAGCAGGACCATAGGCTCCCCCCAATAATGACACAGAGACTTATTATTAATTATTGAAGCTCAGCCAATAGCTTAGGCTTGTTCCTAACTAGCTGTTACAACTTATATTAATCCGTTTGAGTTAATTATATATGCCTCTCGGCTTTATTAACTTTACTGCCCATGCTGCTCTCCTGTTTCCCATGTCTGGATGGCCACTCTGCCTTCTTCCTAGTGTCCTCTCTGTTCCCTAAACTCTGCCTAGCTATTGGCCTTTTAGCCTTTTATCAAACCAATCTGAGCGACACTTCTTCAGAGTGTACAAAATTATTTATTCCACAACATAGAACTGAGAACAGAGAGAGCACAGACAAAGGAAAGAAGAATGCTGCTGGGGAAGGGGACATTGGAGAGTGTTGGCATTATCACTGCTGGGTGGTGGCATCATTGTAGGGTGAGGGCATTAAAGCCCCAATGGCTGCCCTTCCTATATCTCCTTATACTTTGCAGTCTCCTCTAACCCTGAAATCAGGCTCGTCCATGTGACTTGGTGTTGGACAATGAGAGGCTAACAGATGTAAGGAGACTGGAGATGTGAAAAAGGGAATGCCAGCATGTTTCCACGCTCCCTCTGCCTTCTCTGTGATGCCCCTGAGAATACACTCAGGTTGGCCAGCTGGAGGAGGATGAGCCACATGGCATGAAGAGACTTAAGGAGGAGGGCTCAGCCATTACCAACAGTCTTTCCCCAACCCTTAAACTGACTACCAACCAGTGTGTTGCGTAGGCCCACCCCACCCTAGACTGGAAATACCCTGTTAACCATAGACTTATGAGCAATAAAGAGATGTTTATTGTTGTAAGCACTGGAATGCTATGGTGGTTTTATTTCACAGCATGATTATAACCACAGATTATTGATGTAAACAGTCAGGAAACCGGCAACGAGTGCTTCTTAGAAGAAGCCAATACTAGAGGTGGCTCTTAAAGCAAATCTAAGGTACCCAGAATGCCACCTTACTTATATGGGAGTTCTAGATTTTTCTGATCAGATGCAAATTAGAATTTTTTCTTGGGTACACATTTTGAGTTTTCTTTTAGCTGATCAGTTACTCCGAGGTACTCATGTTCTATGAGAGAGCTTGTATGCCTGGGTCATACCATAGAACTTAGAAAATAGTACAGTTTGAGGTGTGCCTCAAATGATTTCCTTCGGAGTCTGAGGGGCAATTTTAGAAATGGAGAGGATTTTGCTCTTGACCCAGTGAGTTCTGAGAGGCCATATGCTTTGTGTGTCAACAATGATTATTAAAACACTTAATGCACTGCTGAGTTCCCAAATGCTATGCCCTTTCCATGCCAAGCAAGGAGGATGTGGCACTGCTGGGCATTTGGAATCCAGAACAATTTGTTTAATAGCCTGTGTCCTCTGTCTGCTCCTAAAACACACTTTTAGCCTAGCCGAGGACAAAACTCCAAGGACCCAGCAAAGCACAGACCACCACATGCCTTCAGATGCACTTGAGTGAAAATGTTTTCATTATCCTTCCTCTCCATCCCATATAAATTCAATTCAATTA